TCAACAACTGAAATGAACATGTTAAACATGTCTGTAAAGTTGTGTTGCACATCGACGCCAATCTGATTTTTGATGCGTCCTTTAAATTTTCACCACCGCATAATCGTTTCGTACGCTGCGACGTTGTCTGGATTCTTCCGCTCATCATTCTGAGAAAGTATTGCCCAAGCTGGAAAAAAATTCGTTGCAAAAGCACAGAAAGAGAACAAGGTAAAGAAAAACGCACTTTTTTGTATTTTTCACAAAAAAACCCGGCATAAGCAAAGAAGTAAGCTCGGCGACGTTGTCTACATCGTAGACAGAAACAAGACCTATCGAATACACAAATAAACCGAGTGAAAAAAGTTAAACTGAAGAAAAAACAAGAGGTTTTCGAAAACGCCGTTTTCGAGGATTTCTCGTTTAAATCCTAAAAGGAAGTTCCGCGACGTTGTCAGTGTGAAAATAGAGATCAAGAGCTCTAATATCATATATAGATTATCGAAATTGGGCTCCGAACAACGAAGAAAAGGGTACCAGAGCCAAATGCCCCGCGCCCCGCATTTGAGGTAGCGAGGTAGCGCGCAGCTCGCGGAGACGCAGACGAGCAGCGGAGACAGACCAGAGCCGACGGGGCATTTGGCTCTGGTCGTGGATCTTAGCGGGGTCTCAACGAAACCCTGCAACATTATACAGGGTGTCCCAAAAAGATGTGCACACTGTTTGATTGTAAATAACTCTCTTGTAGTTAAGTGATTCGAGAAGCTTTAGGTACCATTTTGTAGAGCGAGGTTCAACTTAGACTTACAGTGTAGAGCGAATCGCCGGTCGTTCATTCTTACTGTAGGAGTACGGTAGAAACTTCAAACATAGGGTGTCACTGTGAAAAAGGGTCCGTTTCAAAAATTTTCAAAAAAATGTGGAAATTTGTGTAATAGGGTTTTTATGGATCCGGAGTTTATTACCCAAATTTCTACAAGGTTGAGAAGCTTTCTAAACGGTGTAACCGCACTTTTTAGGTACACTTAAAAACGTCTGCTGCTGCTTACCTCGCATAATTTTTAATGAAGCATTATGAAGAGTTGCGAACTTCACAATTAGAATCAGCAACTCTATTTAGCCCAGTGTGAGAGTTTTCAGATTGTTTTGGTTTTTTTGGAATAAAATATGGCCTTTCGTGGCTCAAAACCCTCTTCAAAGTTTCTACCGTAATCCTACAGTAAGAATGAGAGATCGGCGATCCGCTCTACACTGTAAATCTAAGTTGAACCTCGCTCTACAGAATGGTACCTAAAGCTTCTCGAAACACTTCACTACAAAAGAGTTATTTACAATCAAACAGTGTGCACATCTTTTTGGGACACCCTGTATATCGTTGTGATCCTCATGAGACGGCCAGGAGCACTAACAACGTCGCGGATCTTGAAAATCACTCCATAACGAGATAGACCAGCATTTATATGGCGACTCTTTGCGCAAGATTTGAGCGCAGTTTTTCGTTTTTATTGAACTCTAGCGGCTTTAATGAACTTCCAACATTCAGCCGCACTTCAGAGAAAGGTTAATTGAGAAATTTTGCCCTAGTTTTTAATTAAATTTTCAAATAAAAACCTTCTTCTCAATAAAAAGGCCATACAAACGCAATCCTTCGCTTTTTTGAGCTTCTTTTGAATGTCACTGCTATATTTGCCTCATTTAAATTCATTCCTATACTGTTATGTCATTAGTTATGTCATAATTTCCGGGGCTTCGCCCCGGGTAACTTTTGTACTTCTCCCCAAATGAAGGTTGTGTTCTATCATAACGCTCAAAGTGAAGGTTAACCAGAGTACATGGCTCTATGTATCGAAGGTATGCTTCACATAGTAAGGCTCTTTAATCTGCCAAACGCGAGTACCATATCATTTATTGTATTTATGCCTCTTTCCTTGTTTAGGGTGAGACCCTGTATCGTAAAAATACAGCAGTCTTACAAAAAAGCCCTTATCGCGCAACTAGTATCGTTTTCGTGGTCAACATGTCGGATAACCCCTCCCCCCTATGTCAAGTTCGGTCAAACGTGTCAAATTTCATAAGTCTTCCCCTTATACCATATACTAGCGTGATCCTCACGGCGATGTCGATTTGGCAGAACAGCGGCTGCGGCTTGTAGCTTGCATCATAAACTACACAATGGCAAGATTTGAGTGCGCCATATTGAGAGAGAAAAGCTACTGAATGAGTTGCAAAACTAATATAAATGATTTGCCCAGAACACGGAAGAGCGCTGCCAAATTTGTGCAGAGGAAGGCCTAAAGGCCGGCACGAGGTTGCAAATGGACCTCTGTAAAACGAGTTCGTCTTTAAAACGTTCGATTATTACGATTTCCGATTTGACGCGCCAGCCGCGTAGATTGTTCAGTTGTAGCGCTCAAAGTTGGCTGGCGTCTTTCTTATTTCAGATCGAAACAAAAAGAAGAGGAGATTTACAAATTGTTATTGTATATAAATTTTGAGTGCAGAATATTTCTATTTAAAATGTGAATCAAAAGTTTTGCCATATTCAGGGTAATATGAGAGTGGCATATGTCCCTTCAATTTCTTATTTCCTATCAATCAATTATGTATGTACCAAGTTTGGAGCCATATCGTTGCCGCTGCGTTGCAAACGACTCATTATTCCACCTTTTACTGAGAAAGTGTTTCACAAAAAACCTTTCCACATTCACTCACATAATTTTTCCACGATGCTCTGCGCTATACTTCTCGTAGATGTCGTTATGGTGTATTGTACACCTAGCAGCTAATAACCACTAAAGAGAAAGATATTGGGGTTTTTCGAATATCAGGAGCGAGCAAGTTTCCTTTGCAGTTTTCACTAAAACAATTCCTTCCAGCTTGACATCTGCCACCATTGGGACCCTGGGAAGGCTGCACCGCTGAAACATGGACGTGCAAGCGGCCACTAGGTAAATGATGTATCGAGATTATTACTTACAATGTCGGGCTTAGGGTTTCGATGTGTTTTTGTCGTGTATATTAAATGTTTGTCTCCCCGAAATTCATAGCACAAGTTGCGGCCACGCTCTTAGGCCACAGTTCTGCACCCTGTAAAAATTGAGCATCAGACCCATCTACTTAATTATAAGCACTCATAACTGGGCCCGTATTTGGCCTTTTTGTAAATCATTTGATTCATGAATATATTAGGTCATTCCGAAAGTAATTTCGCTTTTTTCAAACGGGCGCCACATATGACGGAACAAAGATTCCTAAAAGATCTTGGAAGCATTCGATGCAGCATTTCATCCTCCTTCTAATGGTTATGAAAAGGCTGCAACGCGGTCAACTAGCTTTCAGAAAATAACCAAAATCTGCGGCCTATGCTTTTTGAGATGGTCAAGTTTCACGATTTTTTAAAACTTTCGTATCAATCCTCAGAAGGAGCTCAAGTAACGATTCGATAGAGCAAACCTCATAGAATACAGTCCACCTTTTTTCTCTTTTTCATAGCTCGCCGTAATTTTTTTAAAAGGTTTTTTAACAGAACCATCGGATTTTGGCAGGCCCACATCAGTCACAATCGCATCAAACATCACAAATTTTTTGGATTTTGAGATTACCAAGATGATAGTATGAGTTAGCATTAATTTTACAAAGTAAGCGAGGGTTTACGGGTTCGAAATATAGAATTTCAAGTTTTTCGGGTACAGCCTGGTTCTCGCTAAAAAAATGAGTTATGATGATATTATAACCGAAAACTAAACGAATCGGAAACAAAAAACACCGTTAGAAAGGGGAGAAAATGCTGCATCGAATAGTGCCCTAGCTGCTCTTCTTTTGATGTTCTACGAGGATTTAGCTGCCCAAGTTTGGAAATCGGTAGCATCAGTTAAAATTCTGTTAAAAATGTATGACAAGCTATGGAAAGGAGAAAAAGTAGTACTGTCTTCTATAAGGGTTACTCTATCTAATCCTTACTTGAACTCCTTCTGAGGATCGATATGAAAGTTTCAGAAAATCGTGAAACTTGACCATCTCAAAAAGCATAGGTCGCAGGTTTTGGTTATTTTCTGAAAGCTCATTGATTATGTTGCAACAATTTCATAGCCTTTAGAAAGAGAATGAAATTCTGCATCGAATGCCTGCAAGACCTCTCAGAAATCTTTGTTCCATCAAGTGTGACGCCCGTTTGAAATAGCGAAATTACTTTCGGAATGACCTAATAGATGTGCGAACAGTCGGGTTTAGCCCAAAATGTAATCAAAGGTATATTTTTTGCGAAAATAGTAATAGAAAGAGTCAATAGTGCATCGGTTTTTTACGCTTTCATACGAGAAACTGAGCAGGTTTTTACTTGGAGTTGTAGCTCACGATGGTCATTGTTCATATGGCGAATATCAAGCCATTATATTTCAGCAGTTGATCCAACCCATTTGTTTCCCTGTACAAAGGGCTTTTTCCTTCCAAAGCTACCTATCTTACATTGAAAAACTTCTGAAACAAGAAGTTTTTACAATTTATTTGTAACGTTCCGCATGGTGCGGTGAGTTTCAACCACAATTATATCTTGGTAGTTTTTATGTAAGAGTCACAAAATGCTCAACCCGTGCCACCCATTTATTAACTAAACAACAATTCCACTTTAAAAGAGTCCACTGTCTCCTGCGGACAATTCGGACATGTGCGAAGTCAGGAGTCAAAAATGGTTCGAAATTCGAAAAAAATTCGCTATATCAAGGAATACCATCTGGTTCCGAGCTCTGGTGGCACTCCAGTGAAATAAAAGAGCAGGCTTCTTCAGTCAATAAATAAATCAGCTCAACTGACATAGACATTTCAAGACCCAACATTGAACACATTATTTTTGGAGAGAAACATCGAGATTAATTGAATTGTCCATGCAACAGCTTTATTTACTACGATTTTCAAAATCCTATACTGCTTGCGATCAACAACATCTGATGTAGTGCGTGATGTTTTGAGCAGCACTAAATAGCCGTTATCGACATTTAATAGAAAACGAGCGATAGAAGAATAAATCACCTATCGGACGGGTTATTTGTTGAGCCCGTTGACTTTGTAAGAGTTTCCACCGCGTTTGGTCTGCGAATTCGTAGCAGAATGAGGACTTCAGATTGTATAGTGTGGTTCAAAACGAGGTAGACAATGGCAGGAAATCCTGAACCAATTTCAATCATATAACAAAATATTTTATTTCACGTTTATGGCTACAAAAGTTGGCAAAGTCTCTCTATATTTCAGAGCAGAAAACGATTGATTATTTTAATGTTCGAAACACATCATAGGCTACCTCTATTTCCAAAATTTCAAAGCTTCTATGGGAACTACTGATGAGGGGCACCGAAGAAGCTGCAATACCGGCATAGTTCTTAGCCCCGAAACCGGATAGTGTAAAAACAAATTGAAAATTTGTCGTAAAAAATTTTGTATCTTGGCAGTTATATTCTAACTTCTCATTTATTTCATTATATGATATTTATCCTTACAATAAGCCTCAAGGCTCCGTCATCTCGACGGATTTGCCCCTACATGCGTGAGGGAATCCTTGACGGGCAAAAAGCGCTGAGGAGATGAAAAGCTCAGGAGGCTGGTACAGATAACAGATCAAAGGAGGTAAACGTATACGACCTGTTTGGGATGGGACAGTAGAAGCCTCCGCTCATCTATATACAGGGTGTCCCAAAAAGATGTGCCCACTGTTTGATTTTTAATAACTCTCTTGTAAAGAAGTCTCTCGAGAGGCTTTAGATATCATACTGTAGAGCTGGCTTCAACTTAAAAAATATATAATAATGACAGAGCGGGCGGAGCCGGGTTTGCCAGCTAGTCTCTCGATAAAGTTAACGAACTAGCATCGCTATTAGCGTATTTTGCAACAGACACTACAAGTATTAGTTTCGCCAAATATTGTTAACTTTATAGGTACGTCTCCACTTCTTGGTTACTCAAACATACGATGGCTAAATTTGCCGTCAAAGGCAGTATCTCGGCAAATTCTCGACCTGGAGTTTTTCTGCTTACCTCGGGTAATTCGACGCGCAGAGCCGATCTACATTGAAGAGCGCAAAAATGGCGAAAACTAGCATTTTCCAAGGCTCCCATTTTGAATCTGGACGAGTTGGACGGTTCTCGCCATGGTTAGAGACGCAGAGTCGTTGTGAGATTCTCGTGGTCAAAACACTGCGGCGTGCCTTCTCTGACATGGAGGAAAATCGCAAGCTCGTCCAAATGCATGTAAGATTGGCTTGCGCGTACGGATTTAAGAGCAATTTTAGAGCAGGGGCAGCATGCCATGCGCTCGGATCTGCTCTATTCTCAGGGTGCAACTTCCACATCAAAAGTTCGAGACTTTCGTTTTTGCCGAGCCCCTGCCTTTAAAGGCAGCGTCCAGGCAGATCTGGACCTATGGGCTTTTACGTGCAAAGTACTTTTGGGACCCTAACTAAGGCAGTCCCCAAGCGGCAGTTCAGGTAGTGCTCTAATGGCTGAGATATTCCCCTCGAAACTGGCCCCCGCGGACGTATTCGCATGGATTCATGGCAGTTTCGCGCCAGGATCCACGCTTTGCGCCATGAATGCATGCGAAACACGGTCGCGGGGTCCAGTTTCGAGGGGAATATCTCAGCCGTTACAGCACTACATGAGCTGCCGCTTGGGCAGTGCCTTAGTTAGGGCCTCAAAAGTACTTTCCACGTAAAAGCCCCATAGGTCCAGATCTGCCTGGACGCTGCCTTTAACACGTTATATCATAAATTGGGTTAGCTTGCCAATTTTGATGCTAATAATGCACAATCCTCTCTAATAGACTTGAGAGAAGTTGAGAGAACTTTTGACCGATATCCAGACCTCAATGTCTTATATACAAGATTGGTCGCTGTCATATTATTCATTTTCTGACCAAAGACACGAGCACGCTTTGCGTACCTTTGATTAACAAGTTCATGAGTGATTTTTAACGCGTTCTGGTTGATTCACTATTGGGTTCTTGCTAAACATGTTCAAACAAGGTTAAACAAAACAAGTTCGAACTTGTTTTTTCAGGATTGTTTAATGGTAATTTTAAATAACGCGTTTGGACGCAGTTATATCTTGTTAATCAATCGTACGCAAAGCGTGCTCTTGTCTCTTAGGGTGCCTTCATACCGCGCCGGCAGCCGCCGCTAGCAGCCCGTAGCAGCCCGTAGCAGCCGCCAGCAGCACGTAGCAGCCCGTAGCCGCCGCTAGTCGCTTTTTTATAGAAGCGCAAAATCATGAGAATACCATTTTAAGTGCTCCTGCTTTGCCTTTCGCCCTCCTTGGTTTTTCCTCTGTTGCCGTCAGTGGATAGTTTGATCTCATACATCATATTTGTGTCCATCTCATCACCTTGTCACCGTACGGTCATCCTGTTGAACCACTGTTCGCAGAAATTCCTTTCCTGGGTGATTTTTTTTTGACTCTGGATGCGTCCAGTTCCTGCAGGTGCTCAGATAACCGCCGGAGGCAGGCGGCCATGCGAATTTTGAGCAAGCGCGCACCGGAAAAGTAGTTCGTTGATTTTTTGCGGCCCGCTTGCAGAAATTTGGAAGAAAGTTCGCGAAATTAGAGACGAATGCTTGAAGAACAATCGCGGTTTCTTTATGGATTAGCTGCGGCGCAGTGGCCGTATTCTCGCGGACTTTCCGCTAGAATATGCAAAAATTTCGAGGGCCGCACGGTCCTTTGTGGAGGACCGCGCAACCCTCAGGTACTTTCCGCTGAGAGAAAGTGCCTCAAACTTGAGTAATCAAACCAACGGTGACACCTCTGCCACACAGCGGCCAGCGGTGGCTACGGCTGCTACGGGCTGCTGGCGGCTGCTGCGGGCGCTATGTGCTGCTAGCGATGGCTGCCGGCGCGGTATGAGGGCACCCTTAGTCAGAGAATGAATGATACTTGATCTTATAGAGGCTCACGTACCTTCCAAGAAAAATACAGATGCTAGGTGGAAAAGCCTTGTACAAAATCAAAATCTTCTACAACAAAAAGAACGACTATTGTTTGAGGTCATTAATACCTTCTGATATGACCAATATAAAGCTATGTGTCGCGATTCGAACCGTCTGACACGTCGAATTTGGAGCTATGAACAATGCCGAATGGCAAACAAAAATAATATGCGATTAGTATTTCTTCATAGTATCATGTTGGAGACGGCTGGATTTCAGTCGTTGATGACAGGAGCATGTTATCTTCGGTGCTGGTAATAAAATCAATGCCTCACCTCAACGTTTAGCAGCAACATTTTTTGTTGATGTTAAATTGAGCGGTTTTATTTTACATGCAACTTTTTTACGGCCTGTCTATACCTGCGATTAAGTGTAGTCTTGTACAGAAGATCTTAAGAACTACAAAAGAATCGGTGTCTGTGATATCCGATGTATTTCGGCTTTTAATTCGCAATAGTGCGCCGGAACTCCTAGTGTTCTCTTACCCGCAACCTCAATATCATTGATGAAGGGCTCAGTGCCAAAACTCTGGAAAGAAGTGGCGGTTATCGCAGACGCACGGGTGCAGATAATTCAGAATTTAGCCGACGTCTTTTGAAATAAGGAAGCATTATTGCTGAACACATCTTAGAGCGGTGACTTGGAGTACATTGTCTCCGAATAAGATTCATAGATGCACTTGCGTCGTCTACAATAACTTAATTGACAAAGTGTTGCGAAGATTGGTACCCCACTCAGCTGTACAATGCACTTAACGAGGCCAGCACCGCGTGGTGCAGTCTCACATTAAAGCGCGAGCGTTACCGTATACGCGCAGCGTGCAGGGACCCTGGTGCGCACAACATCGCGGGCCTTGTTTTTATTATTGTAACTCGTGAATTTCCGTTTTTGTTGCAGCAGACTGCCACTTTTCTTGCTTCTATGCTCACATGCGATCTGTCTTGATACCGGTTATGATTTTTTTCGCAGCATAGCACGGAGGTATCAAATCTTTGAGCGTTTTTCCTCATGACACATTTCATCCAGATTTTCTTCGGATGGCTGATTCCGGATGTCATGGTCCATTATATCGATTCGTGTTTCAACGGACACTATCGTATATCTAGGTTGGAGTGAACAGCGTCGTGCGCTGTTTTCTCAACCTGTAGAATACGGTTACACCTCACATATGCATCTTTAGCTGTAGGGTGTAGAGCACCAGCCGTTCTCAGAATTCTCAAATGAAATGGTTCAGATTACATCTTCTTTTAAACCTCAAACCTCCATTTTGTTCTTCAGTCGCGCGGGGTACTTTGAGAGATTTCAAGAAGTACCGAAGTAGAATTTTAGACAAAAGAAACTCAGAGATTTGGAAGCAGGGCAGCAAATAAGCTAAGAAAGAAGCAGAAAGAGTAGCTAAAACAAGGACCACGCCGGTTTGCGCAGCATGGTCCCTGCACGCTGTAACGCACGGTAACGCTCGCGCGCATGTGTGTGACTGCATTACGCGGCGCTGGCCCCGTCAAATGCATTGTACGTATCTGCATGGAGAATTACTATGCTGGTAAGCCTAATCTGAATGGGTAGGCATGACTACCATTGCGAAATTCCATGCTGCTGTTGTTTGGTTACACCAGCGCACACTGCTAACTGGTGTGCATTTAGCTTACATTAGTTGTGGTGTTAGTACAGCTCCAATCTCAGCTTTTATTGAAATTCTACTTATGTAATAGACGAGTTGTCGTGTGTAACGTTCTACATATGTTGTTAGCCCTGCCTGTTTTGTTGAGAAAAGCATTATTTCTAGATGGTGTTCCAAAAAATGTCGAGCGTTTTGCGCAACATGTGTGCAATCCGTGTCGAGCTGCACGGACACGTCCTACTCACTTTCTTACATCTTGGAGGATCTTACCGTGTCCAAGTTGCCAGCACACGTGACCAACAAGAACGAAGCTTGGAGGCGTATAAAAGAACTGCATGTAGACATAGATTAGGGCTGCAGTGAGGTTTGCCACACAAATCAGGGAACATTGGAGGGAAAACTAAACCTTCAATTTCACGCATCAAAAAAATTTTTTAGTAGATGCGCTGACCGATTTCTGTGTCCATGTCAAACCGCTTCCTATTCTGGAGTAGCGTAGAAGAACTCGAGAGTACTGTACGTATAGTAGACACGTAAGCACAACAATAAACAAGTTGTTTGCAGTATGAGGATAGTTTAGAAACTGCAAGCGTCTTCAGTGAAAAATCTGAGTTGAAAAAGTCACGAAGAATTTTTCCATGTTAGCGGTTATTGCAAGTAATCAGGCTAATATAATACATCTTTTATTCTAAAAAAATTGTAAAAGCCATGGCTTTTCATACAACACCATTCATTTCCACTATTTCTACCCAGTCTATGATGAATCTCTTGGAAGATTTTGTTGATTTAAGCGGCACTCAAGCATTTCAATTCGACAAATCAAAACTTACATTTTCAGCGACATCTGTTTTGTTTCGGGCAAATGTAAAGAAGAACCACGCAGACTCATTGGAATTGAATAGGAGAGGAGGTGTGAAGAAGGCAAAATAGAAGCTGTATAGTACAGGAAGCAGCAGCACCGCGTAAGTTCTGTTATTCATGAATAGCTGAAATTGGAGATTTTGTTATTGTTATAATGCAGAAAACCGCTCAGTGGTAACTTTGTCGAATTCTGCTCCAACGTTAGAACTCGCGCAACCGGAGCCGGGTCAAGCTGCATATGGATTCTAAGCGAAAAAGCCAAGGGGATATCGTTTTTATGAGTGAACATGCCGCTTCTTTAGCATGGCGAGGGCATGCCGACGGCACGCTGCCCCTAAGCAAGCAAAAATCTTGTTTGAAACCAAATTGCAATGATAGACACCAAGTTTGGTGTGCACATGCGCTTGAAGGGACTCCAGCTATGCCAAAATCTTATAAAAACTCATGAATAAAAGCCGTGCTTTACTTTTTTCCGAATCAGCTGAAGCGGTTCCAGCTACGTGCCAGTTCTGCTTTTTACATAAATTGTATTTTCACTGTGAAGGTTTTCATGCAGGAAACGATTTTACAGTCTTTCTAGGCTGTTTTATACCCCTTGAAAAATTTTCGTCTTTTTGAAAAATTTCCGTTGTCGGCGTAATTCGTCGCAAAGCGCGACGCTAAGCAAACCGGTGTACATATCATTCATTCTCGCTGAGTACTCGGTGTCCATTATGCTTACCTCGTCTTCTTTCTTTATTTGTTGTTGCTCTATTGTTTCGTTCATCTCATTCGCGGAGGGGGGAGGTTTAGGGATGAGGAGAGAGAGAGTGGAGAGTGAGGGGAAGTAGGGTGAGTAAAGGAGTAGAGTCATTTTTTTGTTTGTTTCCGTTTCTGCGTTTTTTGAATTGCTCCAAAGTCTCACACACACACACAAAATAAAGGGCAAAAAGCCAAGTAGAGAGTAAGTGGTTCCAAAAATGTCAAACGGGACTTTATGAATATTTTTGTAAATTCAAAGAGAGACTTCAGAAATTCCTCGGTTCCAGATTGTGCCAAGCAATGTCCCGGGCTCCAAAACTTCGAAAGTGCATTCGCCTGTGTGCACATATGGCAATCTTAATTCGGAAATTATTTGTAGGGAACTTGCCATGTCCAACAGTGGTTTATTCCATAAATCCAGAAGACGATTTATGCCCAAAACAAAGCCGAACATACATGCGCCACACCATAATCCTGAACAATAGTTGATGTCATAGGCACAAAAGCTTTGTAGTATTAACCCAAAAGTTTGAAAAAGTACTTAAAATAATTTCCATGTTCCGTAGTCATTACCTGGGCATGTTCATAAGTGTCGAATATTGTTGTGTCGAACAGGTTTTTAGGTGGTTCCTTTTATTGTCAATACTCTTCTTACGTTTCGACGCTTTCGACTTCATCAGAGGCCCGGAATGGATCAAAGCTTTATTCGTAACTCCAACCCATCAAACGTCTCCACCAGCTCTTGCCAGTTCTCGGCTCTTTCCCCAATCTAATGCTACAAAAATTGTGATGTTGGATAGGTATGCTGATACAATAAACATGTTTGGACTTAGCAAAGCGCATACGATGGCCCCAGTGAAAGAATGTCTAAAATGCACCATTTTCAGATGGCCTGGGACTTATTACTCCCAGATACGCGGACTAGCTATGGGCCAAAGGCTAGCACCCAATTCTCGCCATATGCTTTATGAGCAGAATTGAAGAGCCAGTCCTAGCACGTATGCCACTGATGTCTGTCGTTACATCGATGATTGCTGTGTGCAACTTCAATGCAATCCGAGATGGACGAGTGTTTCAGAATTCTTAACCAGCAATCACAGTGCATCAAGCTCACACGTGCGATACCTCGCGATGGATGGCTGCCTTATCTCAACGCTCAAATAAAGGTGGCCGTTGGCATTGCAAGAATCAAATGGTATCGCAAGGAAAGCTCCAAAAATATCCTCATCAATGTAGAATCTGCACATCCTGCTTCTGTGAAGCGTGCTGTCATTGGTAACATGTTTAGAACCGCGATGCAGATGTGCAACGGAGAGGAGGAGCGATGCGAGTCACAAAAATTAGCTACCCAATTAGCTTGCAGTAACAGTTATCATTCTTCACCGCACATTCACCATCTGAGAAATGGCAACAACATTCGACTGATGACAAACTTCAACTTTGCTTGCCATTCATCTTATATATAAAGCTGAATGTCTGTTTGTCTGTCTGTCTGTTTGTCTGTATGTCTGTGTGTACGTATGTTCCGAATAGAAAATTCCATTTCTGAACCGATCGGGACCAAACTTGGCACACATACACTTCGGGCCCCGGCGGGTGTCATAGGCTACTTTTCGTATCGATCGATATCGATTTTATCGATTTTTTTTTGCAGAGTTCACCTACGGGGCTGGGAGTTGGCACAGGGGGGTAATCGAGCATGGGGATTCCGAATACGATATTAGTTTTCAGGATTATCGATTACTTTTATCGATTTTATCGATTTTTTTTACAAAGTTTGAACTACGGGGCTGGGAGTTTGCACAGGGGGGGGGGGGTAATCGAGCATGCTGATTACGAATACAATATTAGTTTTTGAAATCGTCCATTACTTTTATCGATTTTATCGATTTTTTTACAAAGTTTGAACTACGGGGCTGGGAGTTTGCACAGGGGGGGGGGGTAATCGAGCATGCTGATTACGAATACAATATTAGTTTTTGAAATCGTCCATTACTTTTATCGATTTTATCGATTTTTTGCAAAGTTTGAGCCACAGGGCTGGGAGTTGGCACAGGAGGCGTAAGTGGGCATGCTGATTTCGAAAACAACACAGGGAAAGGAAAATGAAGTGTAGAAGTGGGCACAGGAAAGGCTGTACAGGGATAGGGATGGGACCTTTATTACAGTGTTTTCACGGGCCGGGCGGAGCCGCGTAAGCAAGCTAGTTTCTAATAAGGTCAGCGCGGTCATACAGAAATGCATCGTTCGTGCGCAGCTGCGAGATGATATTATGTTAGTGAACGTTCCCAACAATAATATCAAAAACAGCTCGTTCGTAACAGCTTCTACGATCAATACTTCAATACGGAACGATGCGTGATATGCCTGCAAGGCAGAATGGGTGACTGTGCGAAGGTGGGAGTGGTGTATTAGCTTGAATGCCTGAAATGTAATGCACGCTATATTAGGGAAACAGGAGAAACACTCGGCATCCGCATCAAAGAGCATTTGTCAGATAGAAGACGCAAGAATTAGGCTTCGCCGCTTGGCAAACACAGGCACGAATTGCATGGTGGGGATGACTTTGATATCAAAGCTACAATTCTAACCTTGAAAAGAGATCTCGGCTAGGAAAGCCTTGGAATCGTTCTGGAATTTGCAAAGAGTCCAATGAACAACAAAGACGAGTACTTATTCATATGATTTCCTTCCGTTTTTATTATTATGTGAGCTATAACTGTTTATGTGACATCCCTCAGTATAGCTCAGTCGTCCGTCGCGAACAACTACATTCGGTACGGACATCTAACAATGGTTCCCTAATATGTCTTTTGTCATCACAATCTTTGTAGCACTAGATTGGGGGAAGAGCCGAGAACTGGAAAGGGCTGGTGGAGACGTTTGATGGGTTGGAGTTACGGATAAAGCTTTGATCCATTCCAGCTCCGATGAAGTCGAAAGCGTCGAAACGTAAGGCCGAAGAGTATTGACAATAAAAGAACCACCTAACAACCTGTTCGGCACAACAATATTCGACAGTACTTGAGATGTTTCTTTTTCAGTATTTTTGTATAGACTATACTATCTATGACTGTTCCGAACTTTCATCCAATGTTAATGCTCTTCATTGCTCCACTATCTAACAACTTTTCTCGCCCACCAAGAGCAGCACACCCAGCAACAAACATGAAAGTAGGGCTGGTACAATAATGTGCGCCAGTAAACCAAAAATATCCGGTCAATAATGAGTTGAGTGATACAGCAGCCATGTCGTACAGTCCTACAACTCGTTCTGCTTGCAGGAAGTAAACGCAGTATAAGTGCATTCAAACCTAATGCTATCATGATTTTGTAACATGATAGTCGTCGGTGTTGTTTTCTCAACATCACAGTAAAATCCAACACATAGATGATCTAAAAGCAAGACATTCTCTTTAAGCGACAAAACTTTTTGAAAATAAACCTCTGCAATAATTCCGTATGCAACGAATATAGTGCCCAATATATAGCTTTTCTCTCCGGGTATCCTATCCTCAGCCCTGCAAAAATAACAGATCATGCAAGAAATTTATTTGAAGTTTTGACTAAGCTGCTCAACTTCATTTGCTTCATATGAGCAGCATTCATATGAAAAAACCCAAAGAAATTTCAAATTCCGCTGTAATCGATAAGCAAGATTTTGTCGCGACAAGTTCAAAGATTGCGCTTCTGTTCCTACTAGTGATTGCTTACAAATTCGAAAACGCTGACGACAAGCATGGTGATCCTATGATGTTCTTATGCTGTATCACCTGCATCACCTGTGCGCCCGTTGATCGTGGTGTTGCATGAGCAAGTAATACTTATGCTTTCGTCCCTGTCGCGGGCAGTTGTTGACCAGTGCTCTGATATTTCACAGGGAAGACGTGAAAGGCTCTTAAGGACTCCACCAAAACATCGTAAACATATCTGATTTCGTAACGTCTTCTTTTTCCTTTGACGTTCAGTGGTTTCCAGACTGATACATCTCATCCACCGGTTGTCATCAAAACGCATTACTTGTCCGACCCATTTTGTCAAGCCCTGTTTGTCGTTTGCGGCAGCGTCCCTGAATCTCGATTGGCCTAAGGTGGAATTCCGTATTCTTCCTCTCGATTGCTTAAGTCAGTTCACTCATATCACCATTCTCTTGAAGCTGCTTTCATCGTGCTTCCTCATTGTCACTGTTTAAAGAGCGTCAAAGCAGGGAAGTGGGCGCATAGCCGGATGTTTTTTCTCTAGTACATTCTCAACTGTCATTTATGTGCTCCATGTTGCTCGTTTTCTCCTGCTCAGTTCCGGACTTAAGTCGTTCATCATGATGATTTCTCGACCTAGACATATATAGCTTGAACTTTCGGTGATGTTCATTTTGTTAAGCGTCGTCGGATTTAGCCATACATCGACCTCTTCAAACATTTTGCCAAACTAGGCAAGCATTTCTTCCGCTTGTGGTATTTGATGTTATCCATACGATGTCAGAGCAAAGCGAAGATGATTTAGTTGCTGGCCATTGATTCACTCCTATGTCGTCCCATTCTAACGTATGCTCAAGTAACTTGAAGGCCTTTATCAAGTCAAAGAATGTGGGACAGAGCTGCATCGTGTGATCTCGTAAAACATCGATAAGCCTTGGCAGCGGTGCATGTGATCTAACGCTTCGGAACCCATCTTGCAAGCACAGTTGTTGCCCTTTTCTTCTTTTCCTCCAATCTTAATGAGAAACTCGAATAGATGGAAACTACGAGTCAAGTCAATTGCCAATGTCGCAAAGGTCCCCGTACAGCAACACAATCCAGCTGGCCATCAACTTGGAACGGTGCTCTGTTCGGCAGTGCGAAAAAATCCTTGTAGTCTTCATGAGAAGTGGTATCAACGTCTCAAAGTTCCAGCTTGATCCTTTGGAACAGGGCGCTGTACGATTTCATCGATATGACAGCGGGACGTGACAAATTTTGAGGGGAAGAACAAACTGTGCGTGAGCGACCTCTTTCATTGACCTTTTGGACTCACTTATAGTCTCGCGGCGAATGCGGTCATCTGGTCGCAAAAGTGAAGTAGCTTTTGGCGGCGTTGCGTGCGCTTCTTCCAACCTCCGCGGCGTCAACCGTACTGCTACTTTTTTCCTTGTAGTCTTCTTTTATCGATCTCTGCATCTCTTCGCCAGTTCGGACATCAGTTGCACTTGCTTGTGGCTTGTGCTTGGCCATATTGGCGTGCCACTCCAAAGTGTCCAACAAAAGACGCTATTTCGTACTTCTCGAATCACCTTGCTCTTGTGAAAAGTTGAACAAAATGTTCGTAATCGTCGTCGACGTAGTCGATCACGATGTTTTGCCAAAAGCCGGACATTGAAGAAAACAGGACCCAGTTAGTAGTAGCCGTGAGGCGATGCTTCATAAACTTTACTTCTCTCTCTCCATTTCCTGGAAAATTAGAACCTGGCACGCGAGGCGACGGTGCGATTCTGCAAAGAAATTACAGTGATGCCCTTCAGTCAATACTTTCTGTTGACGATTGTGTGGTCAATCTCGTTAAGTTCTCAGACAAACGCTGGGGGCAGGCGGGCACCGGAAAAATAGATTGCTGATTTCTCGCACCCCGCTCGCGGATTTTTTGCAAAGCAATCAGGACTTTTCGGAAGACCGCTTGCTGAGTCAGCGGATTTTTGAGAGACCGCCTGTTGAATTTTTTCGCTCTTATATCTTGCAGATATATTGCTGGCAGTGGCGTACCGAGGGGGGGGGCGCGCGCCCCCCCCCCCCGAGAATGGGTCGCGAAATTTTTGAAAGTTACTTATAAGGGCTATAAAAATATGCAAATGACTTGTCTATACTTGTAAATAATTAAAATAATTTTTAAAAAATTTTAAAAATTCAAATTAGCCTTGTAAAAAAATTAGCCTTTTTTTCGGGGGCGTGGCTGACGCCACGCCCCCTTTTTCCAGATTTTAGGGGTTGGGGACCCGCAAAATTTTTAAGAAGCACCCCTAAAATTTTTTCGGAGTGCGTGGCTAACGCCACGCACCTTCATTTGAAAAAATTTTTTGTCGCCCCCCCCCCCCGAGCGGAAATCCTGGGTACGCCACTGATTGCTGGATCTCCGAGAAATCGAGAACTCAGCAAGCGGTCTTCCGAAAAGTCCTGATTGCTTTCCAAAAAATCCGCGAGCGGGGTGCGACAGATCAGCAATCTATTTTTCCGCCTGCCCCCGGCGATTGTCTGAGTACTCTCCACTGAGCGAATCCCAGGTGCAGCGTCGAGGAGGGGACTTCTGAAATAACAAGCCTATAGTCCGGAGAAGACATTTTACCTTAACTTCGCGTTGAAATCCTTTTTTTGAGAATTTCTGCAAGTCTATATAAGGTACCTCGGGCATGTTCTCAGATAATCGCCGGGGGCAGGCGGCCATGCGATTTATGGGCGGGCGGGCACCGGAAAAATAATTCGCTGATTTCTTGCGATCCGCTTGCAGATATTTGGAAGAATTTTAGCGAAATTCTAGACGAATGCTTGGAGAACAATCGCGGTTTCCTTATAGATTAGCTGCGGCGCAGTAGCCGCATTCTCGCGGACTTTCCGCGAGAATATGCAAAATTTTCGAGGGCCGCACGGTCCTTTGTGGAGGACCGCGCAGCCCCCAGGTACTTTCCGCTGAGAGAAAGTACCTTAAACTTGAGTAATCAAACCAACGTGACACCTCTGCCATACGGAGTCTTACCTGTGCTCGACGTAAGCCCGAAACTGCGTAAAAAGAGTCCGAGCGCTTGCTAAAAGTTCGGCCAGCGCTCGCTGAAAGAAATTACTTGCCGAGCGCTTGCAGAAAATTCGGTGCTGCTGCCGGCTGGCAGAACATCTCAGACAATCGCTAGGGGCAGGCGGGCACCGGAAAAATAGATTGCTGATTTCTCGCACCCCGCTCGCGGATTTTTTGCAAAGCAATCAGGACTTTTCGGAAGATCGCTTGCTGAGTCAGCGGATTTTTGAGAGGCCGCCTGTTGAATTTTTTTCGCTTTTATCTTTTGCAGATATATTGCTGAATCTCTGAGGAATCGAGAACTCAGCAAGCGGTCTTCCGAAAAGTCCTGATTGCTTTCCAAAAAATCCGCGAGCGGGGTACGAGAGATCAGCAATCTATTTTTCCGGTGCCCGCCTGCCCCCGGCGATTGTCTGAGATTAGACGTAAAGGAAGTACCGCTCGCTGAAGGTTTGGCCACGCCCCCAAATTCAGCTGACCGCTTGCAGAAAAGCGCGAGTTTGCGGACCGCCTGCCCCCGGCAATTATCTGAGTTCTTGTTGTGGTTTGGTATTAGAACGCGCAATGAGCGGTCAAGGTTGGAAAATCCACATCTTGATATCCGTTTACGTCCAATTTGCATTGTTCGCTAAAAGAATTAATGTTTATGGTCAGTCGTTTTGGCAATAACTCCCATGCCGCTGATTCCATTGTCTCAAGTTTTCAAAAACAGTTTTTCTCCAGTTCAAATGATGTGGGTGATGTCTCTCTGTCTCGGTCAGTCCAATGACGTTCGCTGATCTTCCTTGCTTTCACCGTGGATCTTCAATAGATGCCGTTGCGACATTCATAACCGACTTTCAAACCTTGTTCCACCAGCGCTGCCGCAATACTAGCTCTTCCAAGATCAAAGAAGCCTTTCATAATATCGCTGTTTTTGAGCAACGATATTAGCCGGAGTTACAGTGTTGGAGACACCCCCCCCCCCCACACTCCTCCCGAAGGACGGTCGGAGCTTACTTTGAGGGCAACTCCGAACGCACCTCCACACACACCCTGGAATATCGGGTGCAAACCTGTGATGGAAGAAGGGAGTCCTTCCTCCGGCTCCGCCTGCTTATCGGACAGGCGCAGGATCACTTTTGGTTGGCGAGCAGACCCTATCCGCCACTTAGGGACGTCCCACATAGATTAGCGACTAACAGGTAGAGTGTTTCTATGAGGAAGACCAGTAGGACCCGTAAGGCGAGGGGAATTTTCATGAAAAGTTGAGTTTAAAAGCACCATTTACTCAAATACAGTTCTGTTGTTCCGGGCCTTCTCGAGTTCCTGAATTCGAATATCGAGGCGAGAAACCGCGAGAATCCCGACAGTCTTTATTCCGCAGAACCCGCAGTCACGCTCATGAAAAGGGCAACGTGGCGATTCCGTCTTCCGAAGCGTTTTTCGAAATAATTGTCTCGCTTTGGAAGCAACTTTTAGCAGCGCAAGTTCGACAAGCATAGAGTTGGAGGCCTTGCTACTGTTGGGATCAAAATCTCACTGGGATTGTGACTTCAATAGTGATGGTGTATGCATATATGCACAAAGTATCTATCTTTTGCAGAACGGTTTTTATTTGCCAGTTATGCATCAAGGCACATATTTAGGGTGGTGCGAATTCAAATCACTAATGCACTCTGAAAATGCAGCTATCAGTAAGTTTGTGGGTAAATTAGTAATTTCCAGCAAAAGCAGTCAAACTCAGCTTATGGTGACTTCGAATAGCTAGTAAACCAAAGAGTTTTGTTTGATGTTTTCTATAGACTTAGATAGCTTTGTATTGGACCTTGGTTGGTTATGGTCGGAATGATAGCTTCTTGTGACCTTTCCCCATTAAGTCACAGTTTAGTTCAAACTGATAACGGATATGCGGCCTACGCACGATTTTTATAGAGTGAAACATACTCAGGTAATCGCCGGGGCAGGCGGCCGTGTGAATTTTGAGCAAGAGGGCACCAGAAAAATAGTTCGCTGATTTCTCGCGGTCCGCTTGCAGAAATTTGTAATTTTAGCCAATTTTTGGACGAACGCTCGGAGAACTATCGCGGTTATTCTGTGGATAGGTTGCGGCCCAGTGGTCGCATTCTCGTGGACTTCCCGCAAGAATATGCAAAATTTTTGGAGGCCGCACGGTCCTTTGTGGGGGACCGCACTGCCCATCGTACCTTCTGCTGAAGGAAGGTACCCCAAACTTGGGAAAGAGAATGCTTTCCAAATGGAGATTTTTGTCAAAATCTCTCCCAAGCACAATGAAAAGGCAAGATTTTCGCTTAATAGAGGGCTCAACTTTGCAGAATGTTAACCACAGACTGCCAGCGACACCACAGACAACTTGCAGCTTCTCTATGGGTCAAACCATCGATGACACCTCTCCACATAGAGTCTCACCTTTTTCTCGGCGTACGCCCGAAACTGCTTAAAAAGAGTCCGAGCGCTTGCTGAAAGAAATTATTTGCCGAGCGTTTGCAAAAAATGCTGTGTTGTTGCCCTTTGGCAGAATATACGATCGTAAAGGAAGTGCCGCCCGCTGAATGTTTGGCCACTCCCCGAAGTTCTGCTGACCGCGTGCAGAAAAGTGCGAGTTTGCGGACCGCCTGCCCACGGCGATTATCTGAGTATATGCTTGAGACTGCTGGTGATTGCGTTCCCAATATGGTCATCAGGGTAGTCCACAGTGATGTAAATCGAGGATCTTCAAAATCTTTGAAATTTTAGTGGTTTTAGCTGAGCTCATGAATGTATGCAACCTTATAAGCTGTAGTTTACAGGATGATTTACCCGCATTCGTAGTCCTGAATGTTCTCCGCTCTGCCACCGTTTGTAAGAAGCCATTCCATCTAAAGCAAAAATTGAAGCATATAGCACTGGAGTATCGAGAGTGGTATAAACGGCGACAGCCTCGTTAGTAAGTTGATAATGGTGCCCATTTTGGCTCTTTTGACGTTAACGACATTGCATATGTCGCGCAGTGGTGCGCGGCACTTCATAATTTGATCAAAGTGTTATGTTTTCCATTCAAATAATCGTTCAATGAAAGAGGTATCTGATCCGCTAAATACCGTAGCCATTTTGCCTGCATAAGCGCAATAAGCACTCAGATCGCCGCATGCTCACTTGGGGCCGCATGCATTAACATCGCCGCCGGGAGGAGATTGCAGCTTAAAAGAAAAGCTATATATCCTAAAGCTTCAGATATCTGGATTTCACGCTGTCTACCCATCCGTAAGTATTTCCACCATCTTTCAGTATGAACACATTGAACAGCAGCGAGCAGCAGCACAAGCCGCGTTTTCCAGCTTTTGTACGATCACCTGATGATCCCCGAGGGACGACCTTCCATCCTTTGAAGTCATTTTTCCTTCTTCAAAGTTAATGAAAACATTCCAAAGTTGTACTGGTTATGCAACCCAATAGCCTAAGTATATAGCTGATGAGAACAAATGAGTTTCTGGAATATCGAAATTTTCGATAAACCCCGACTATCCCTGTAGTTCATCGAAGATTTCATGACTCCAAAACATCATTTGTTCTTATCAGCAACATGCTTAGCACTATTGGATTAGATAAGCGGTACAATCTTGGAGTGTTTTCATTAACTTTAAAGAAAGAAAAATGACTTCTAAAAGAGACGATCGTCCTCCGGGAATCACCAGGAAATCATCAAAAGTTAAAAATGCGGCTTGTATAGCTGCTTGCTTCTGTTCAATATTCTCATAGTGGAGGATGGTGGGAGTACTTACTGAAAGGTAGACAGCGTGAAATCCACTATTTGGAGCTCTGGGATATGAAGCTTTCTTTCAAGCTGCGATCCCCTCCCCAGCGGGGATGTTAATGCATGCGACCCTTAGTCCCTGACGAAACCATTCACCTGCTGCGAGCTGAAAATCTTGCGATTTCAGGTCAAACTCTCGAAGAAAGAAAATCCACAGAATTTTGCTTCATAAAGCCCCACAAGGCTACAGAAGGGACCAAGATAGATCACGAGCAGGAGGAAGAAAAAGAAGAAAGAAGAATGAAAGAAATCATCAAAATACTGGAAAAAACTGGAATAAAAATGAAAATTTGAAGGGAGAGGACACAGAAACGTTGACATTGGGGCGCGATGTCTAACAAAGCGATTTTCGAAAGAAAAAAAGTGTAAAAAACTCGCACAGGGCATAATGTGGAACTATCTTTATGCTCAGGGAAAGATCCTTGACCGGGGCATTCGTCCAAGCTAAAGAAATTCGAAACTTATGTGAAGTGACGGAAATATATGCTCCAGACGATCTCAGATCGTCTGGTTGCCATCTAGAGATCGTCTGGTGGCCGTCTGGACTAATTCTGGAAAAGGTATTACTTCACATAATTTTTCAAATATTTTTACATAATTATTCCGCAAATAATTTTCTAAGTATACAGCTTAATTTTGGTGTCATATGATTCTGTGGGGGTGTAAACAAGCAATTTGTTTATTTTAGCCTTGCTTTCAAATCGCGCGCACTCTTCGCCATACACGATAGAGCATGCCAATCGTGTGATAACCTGTCCGAAAAGCTTGTGGTTGAATAAATGGCGCTTATCCTTGGTGGCCGGCCCCGACTCCGCAAAAAAGATATCCCTTTGCTTTTCGCTCTAAAAACGAAGTCCACCCTCCAGACAATCTGTGCCGGGCCCTGACCGCTGTGTGCTTACAAGCGCGCTGGCAGTCACCAAAGCGAGCCTCGAATTTGTTTGGCTATTCAAAAGAGAATAAGAAATCTTGAGAAATGCAGATTTGGAGGCTGTGAGGCTGACCAAAATTATAGCACCTAAATTTTCTATTCGTTCAAGCACTTTCTAGTTTTGAAAGTTTTCAAATAGATATAGTGCTTTAATCAAGCTGTGTAGTACCTTCAAAACAACAAATAATCTGCGCTTTTAGCTTGAAGATGCTTCCAAATGTATTCCGCTCCTGAGATTTGTGTTGAAGTACGAAATTTTGCGGTTTCTCAGCTGCCGAAGCGACAGGATTTCATCTACCTTCTAGATACTTGGTAACGTAAGCATAGAAGAAAATGGTAGAAGAAAATCTGAATTTCTGCTGTTCAAGCAAAAATGCGGATTTTTCCTCGATTTAAGCTTGAAATTGACCTAACTTCAAGCCTGCGCTCGAACTTCTCCCCTCAACCTCGTTTTGCGCTATCATGTAAGCTCTAAGCAATGTAAAGCTCCTTTTCATAAGAAGGAATCTGTACGCTATTTTCAGGGGTTCGGTTCTCTTTGCTTCATTTCCAAAACATGAACTGCACACCTGTATAATGTTGTTACGCAGTTCTAAAATAACTTACCAAGTGTTACCTTAGTCAAATTTTTGACAGAAATCATTTGCTAGGCATTGAAAAGAGCTTGTTTTTGTATATTAGCGCACGATTTTCTTGATGATTTCAATCACAGCCAGAATTAGCTTTGACAATGGTTGCATCAATTTCCTCAGATTTTAACCTACCTATTGAACCTACAGGATCTGCTAAAATTTGTAATCATGGTAAACGGACTCCCGTTCACACAAGCAATGCCTTAACTCAACATTGTGCTCATAAGAACATTGCAAAAAGCATTTACAGAAACTCGAGTCTCGGCTTGATTTTTGGTCGATGTCGGTTATGCTTGAACAGCAAGAAGCAGATTTTCTCGTCGATGCTCACCATGCAACCAGAAGTCAGGCCTCGTTTTAGATGCAGCTGAGAAACTCAGAATTCCCCACTTTGACGCATTCGGGGGCGAAACACAGAAAATATTTTCAAGCCAAGAAACACAGATGATTTTTTCGAAGGTACGACACAGCTTGACCAAAGCAATCGTTTGGGGCCAATAAGCCTGCTTTATTCAAATTTTTGATTTTTTCCTGAGAAAACAAACAAAAATGAGGCTCATTTTGGGGTCTGGTACAGGCAGGGAAAGACCCAGCTGTACCATGTTCTTGGATTTGATCATTGACATCCGGGTGAGTTACGGCATTTTGACGTGGACAATCAGCGGTAAGGGGTTTCTTCGGTGAAATGACATTGTCACGAATTCATTGTTGCTTTCAAATTAAGAGACTGAGGCTTGCCAAAGCGATATATCGATATTTGGGGTTAGCTAGCACGAAATTACTGAGGGCAAAATCAACACACAGAGTAACCTTTCATAAATGGAAAACTGAAGAGATTCGCGAAAAATGACCTAGCAGAAATACAGCGTATACAAACATGCAGTTCTATATTTCAGAATGTGCACCGTGCCGTTGAGTTGAACGATGCGCTTAGATTCAGAATGGGCCACTTTAAAGCATTTAGCGATGCAGCACTAAAGTCATTTAACTCTTAATTTGTGTATGTCACCTGACAACTAATTTGTGCAAAAACCAGTTGGTTTTTATCTGCAAGATTATCCCCGGCATTGTATATTAAACAGAAAGTACTCAAAAAACACTCATTTGTGTAACTGGTCGTTACGTTTTTCACTCTTAGTTAGAACTCTCATAATCACTACAACTAGGCGCTCTCGGATTGACGTGTGAAGCACTTTATTCATTAGCACTACAATCGTCTTATAGAACCCTATTAGCACACATGAACTGATGATTGGTAAGAAAAATGCACATGATATAGTACCAGCAACAGGGCTGACGATCTACCAGGAGGTTCTCAAAACAAAGCCCCACACTAATATTCCAAATTTTCACGAAGTTCTTGGTGATCTTTTGGGGGCCCCTTCACTATTTTTTGAGTGATCGAAGCAGAAACTATAGAAAACCATGGGCCAAAGGATTGGAAGAGGAAATGTTTTTGCTTGTGCTTATCGAACTTCTATATAAAAGGTTATGATTTTTGAGCAGTCAGTACAAAACTGCAGATTTTTCTTGGCATTTTTTTCCCAAAAATCATAACCTTTCATAGAAACGTTCAATCAGCACAAAGTATGCCTAGCTAGAAAGAGCAGGTACCAAAACCTATGATACCGAATTCTCGGTTTCCAGTGCAATTTTCAAATTTTCGGCTACCTTACACAAAAAAATAATTCGATTAATTTTGTCCTACAGCTTCTATCACTGCAGTATTTGGATGTTGGAAAGTCTACATGATGCTGTTAAGCGCATAATTTCCTCTTCTGAAGAAAAACTAAAGCTATGCAAACATTTCTAGGCAAGAATTTAGTACTTGAAGATGGTGCTAACAACTTTTGAGCCTGCCAGCTTAACATACGGGGTCCCCAAAAATAAGTACACACTTTTTGATCGTTCTCTCAACTCTCTTCCCACTAAGTCTTTTCCTTAGTTTCACGTATCATTTAATATAGGATGCTTCAACTAGATTTGCAGTATGAGGCGAATCACCCGTCGACGTTCATTAGTGTGTGATTACGGTAGGAACATCCAGCATACGGCGTCATTGTTAAATAGGCAGCTGGAACAAAAAGTTCCAAAAAAATCTGAAAAGTGTGCAGCAATGTTTTCAGACATGCTGACTTTATTAGACAACTGTATATCGTTTTTTAACACTTTTAAATGGTCCAATCACATTTTTGAAAGACACTGGAAACACGTCGTTGCGGTTATGTGGCATAGCTTATGAAGAAGGTCTTACGGTAAAGTACAAATTTTATGTTGACAATCAGCGGCTCAGTTTAGCCTCATCATAGAATTTTCGGGTCGTTGAACATCTATCCTGGAACAATATGCAGTCACTAATGGCTCAAAACCCTCTTTAAACTTCCTATTGTAATCCTACAGTAATGAAGAGCGCTGGATGATATGCTCTTTGATATAATTTGAATTGAAGCCTGCTCTACTGAATGGTGCTTGAAGCCGAGGAAAAATTTTATTGAGAGAGAG